CCTGTTATTGAAAGGTAGGTACGTACAAAATAAAATCGGCAATTGGTTTCGAAGTATAGGTGCTAAAAGTTAAAAAAAGTTCAGGTAAAAGTGTTCCCCTTTTAGAGATAAAAATTATTAAAATTTATGTCCAAATTCGTTGTACGCCTCTGATAAAAAGATCTTCTTTCGTTTCTACAGCAACCTTTAGTCTTGACAAAAGTTTTATTGTTACAGTTGCTAGGATTTACTAAAATAAATTAATTTTACCTATTTTTCCTTCAGTAGCGTCTAAAAAGGTTGGATAAGGGTTAATTTTCCCCTTATAATTTTGATAACACAAGATAAGTTTTTCCGACTTCTCAGACTTCGCGAAGAACTGTCCATTTTCTTGTACGTATCTTTCAATAACACCCTGTATATTAGAGATATTATGTAAATGGTTAAATGCTAACCAAAATTTAGCAAATTATCCCCATCAACAATCTGATGACGTCATCTCAATGAACCGCATTTTAAAATAATTTCAGTGTTATACAAAAATATACTCCTATACTTAGTAGTGTAAGAATCCGCTTTCAGTTTTTTCGCTAAACGTTCAAATTTTCGCAAGGTATAATAATGTTGTATTACCAACACAGAATATAAATCTCCTTGGCTCAGTGGCTCAGTGGTTCAGTAGAACAGGCGACCTGCATTCTGCAGTCATAGGTTCGATACCGAACTTGGCTCTTTTCTTTTTTTTCTTACACTGCTAATGCGTTCTGACTAATTTTCTTTTGTGCTGTGACTAGTATTATCCATGTAGATGCCGTCATCACAAATTTTTTATTGGTCAAATTAAGAACGAGTAACCCAATTTTTTCGAAAGTGAATACGCACATTTTTATAATTTCTGTTTTAAGAAGCCAAACTCATTCAAATCAAACTAACTTCTACATGACTTTCTTTCAATGTATAAACATATATAAACACTTAAGTTTCAGATTGGTACTACCTAGTGCTGAAGGACATTTTATCGCTGGGGTGCGGGAGTGTAATTTATGCCGCCGGTTTTTATTTCACAGAAGTTATCACAACGAAAATAGTAAAAAAATATTTATAATAAGGAGCTGGATTTGTCGGTTATACTTATAGCCTTCGACCAATTTTTTATTGATCAAATTAAGAACCTTATTTTGTAGAAAATTTGAGAATATCCACGACTTTATTTAATTATGATCAAATAAGAATAATCATCTTTTTTAAAATGTTGTGTTCCATTGTGTTTAATTAATCGTTTAGTCCTCTGTTTTGAGGAGACAACTTATTCAAATCAAATAAAATTTTACGTGACATTCTTTCGATGTATAAACATAAACAATCGAAGTTGAGCATGTACACTGATAATAATACACTCTTTTCCGACGGTTATTTGCTTTGAAAATATTTCATATTGAATCTGCACCTCCGCGGCGTATGCTGTTCGAGGTGTCATTTACACCACTGGTTTTTTCTATAGAAAGATTATCAGAAAAATAAAAAATTTCAAAAATTTTGTATAATTTTTCAAAGAAGCGGAAATTATTTGACTATACTTCCAGGGCGAGGGAAATTCTGTTGAAGTAACCTTGGACCAATTAAATGGTGATTTTGTTACCTTTAATGTCATTTAACAATGGAAAATCGTGTCCTATAAATTTTGTCTTGTTATTTTAAAATATCGCAATGACATACCGAAAATAAAAATATAGTTATTCAAGATTGTTAAGACTATAACTTCAACATCTTTTTTCAAAACAACTGTGCAAGTTAATAATTTTTATACTAATCTAAAATAAGTGCATCTAATTATCTAATCATAGTATAAAGTAAAGCGATCACTTTTTTACAAACAGATTATTTCCAAGTATTTAAAATTTTGATGGATGAGAGGAAATGATGTGAAACAGAAAACATCGAAATATCAGCAAAAAATAAGTTTCCTGGAAAAGTATACATTCATGATAAGTGGTCTTCCTCACAATCTATAAAATACGATTTCCAAAAGTTTTAAGTGCCCTATAAAATTCATAAAATTCAGTGTCCATAAAATTTCACTTACGTAAAAGTTAGAAATAGTTCAGACCACACTCTATTGAATGCGATCTAAAAAAGTTTTAGTCGTTTATTATTGCCATAGAATCCTCTGTTTACAGGAGGACTTTTTCAACACTATACTAAATTTGAAGGTGCTTTCATTGAACTAGCATCAACTGAACTGTGAGTCAGTGGGGATATTTAATCCTATATTATTACTACGAATCAACAGGTGGCCTCCTCAAAATGTGCCACTAGAAACTTTGGAAGTTAACATAAATAACTCCCATAAATATTGTTCTTTATTTGATTTTTAATGTTGTTCTTGTATTACAGTCAAACTTAATCGTGACTGGAGAACTGAATTTTACAATATGTTTTTATTATTGTCTTATAGCTTAAAACTATCCGTATGATTTATATAGATTTATGAGGTCACTATTGAAACAGATAATAAATATCAGACTTCAGATGACCTGAGTTTTCGATTTGGCGAAACCGTTTTACTTTGCTTTTTCGGTGTAGGTTGTTTGTTTTGTACGAAATTTTACTGTATTATTATTATCATAGGAAAATTATTCGATCAAATTTCGTATTTCCTCTGAACACTATCTCCTTTTAATACAAAGAAAAACATAACATCCAGAAAATTTAAGAGATAGTTGGTATTTATACAGACGTTATTGTGTGGCTAAATTACTAAGTTGAATATAAAATTATCTTAAATCAGCACATCAGCTGTTCCATAAAAGGTCCTTCAAACAAATGAGAGCAAAAGAACAAAATTTCTCCGCTAATAATAATAATTTGCAATATGATGTGAAATTCTCGTCTAATTTAAAGGTAAAAGTATAAATAGCATCCTTGCCTTCTACAGACTGTACATGTGGTGTTTGAAGTAAAAACAATGTTTACTGAGATAATTCGATGGGGAAATTAGCTATAGCATTTCATTTTCTTAATAAACTAAATATTTTTCACATATTACCATTGAAATATATATCATTTGATATTTTTTCTGTACTGTCCAGAATATTTGTATTTGAAAATAGTGTTATCACAAAGTAAAATTTATTTAGTGGTAGTAGAATAAGTGATGCATGTTTTTATGATAAAAATTATAAATTACAATTTTTAAAATGTTATGATAAATAATATATTTTTTAAATGTATTGATAATTCTGCAACAAACTCCTATGATGGTGTAAGTATGGTGAATATTGAGTATTGTATTTTTATTTCTTAATTTTTGCTTCAGGATTGTTGGGTTTGTATTTTTTCTGAACAAAACAATATAAATATGGATTTTCCATAAGTTTCTATATAACGAGTGCTAGTGAATCCTAATTCAAACTGATGCTTGCGGTGTCAAATAAAATGGATCACCCTTCTTACGTTGTGCAATAAAACGGTGAGTTGTGTAGTCAGATGTCCGTAGAAAAGAAGGTAGGTAAATAAAATGAGATACAAATTTACGATAGAAATAAGTCTCACTTATTTCTTCATTTAGAATTAATCCTAATTCCAGATGCTGTCTCCAACAAAAATATCCGTAGGATAATAGTATGAAATATGAAACTAAATTTCTTCTAGTAAAAAGTATTTCCATTATTATATTTCTACCAGACTCAGCTGTCGACTGATCATCTAAGTGAATAAACTAATTTCAACGTAACATTAAGCGAAAAGCTATGACTGGATTAAAGCATATATTGCATCTTTTCTTTTTGTTATTATTACACATACATTATTTTTTACTGTTACATTTATGAAATTATCTATTCCGAGGGAGGTAAAAGCGTTTATATTAAATTTTGTGTTTATTGCTTTCTGTATTCTTTATTTCATTAAATTCGTATACACCCTTCCAATTTATCCAATACAACAATTCTTAATAAATTCTAGAATTTTACTTATTTATTAATGTTTGTAAATAAGATTTTTTTAAATCACTTAACAAGACAACAAGACGTTGCTGTGAGAATTAAGTTCGCGACAGATGTTGTTTACCTAATTTAGCGGAAACTTATCTTAATTAACACAGATTTAGTTACTAATGTTGAGGTTTAGATGCGATTGTATACATTTGTTGATACTACCTCCAGATTTTTTTTATTATTTATGGGACTTATTAAGACAAGGCACTGACCGTCCAAAAAGTTTAATTATTCACAAAAACTGGTCTGAGAAGACTCTACATTAATTTCACTTTCAAGACACAGGGGTCACAAAGGGGTACCTAGTACATTAACAATTCTTAAATAAAAATGTAGTCAGAAATACCAAACCCCAATTATAGTACTTACGACGAATAACTGAAGTTTTCTTGATAACATGTCACTAATGAAAGGATCACTCTAAAGCGTCTAAATAAAGCTTTCTCGCTCTCCACTGAGGGTTGTGAGCTCCGTATACATCGTCCATCAGATCTCTTCCACAGTTCTTCTGCCGGAAACCTCAAGGACGCGCCGACTGCACAGTGAACATTAGACCCATCGTCGCAGATCCTCCGTTAAGGTCAGGTGAAAAGAACGTTTCATCATGCAACTCAATGGGTGTTAATTCTGAAGGAATTGCGCCATAATAACTGTAACCAATGGAACCAAGGCAAATTTGTTTTGTTAATTGAGCAGCATAAAGAACAAAGGCTTTCCGGAGGCTGCAGAATTTGAATTTGCTTATCTGTATATCACGTGTCAACAATAACGGTCGCGTTTGCGACTGTACAGGCGACAAGTGGTTCTGGAATGAGGCGGTTCACCTTGCCATCAAGGTGTTTAGGCGCCCACGGCAGAACTGGCCAATTCTGTTGCAGGTGAACGAATCGAAGAATTTCGGGTGGTGTGGGCGCAGCAAGCAGAGTGAAATTCGACGGTTGAGAAAGCGGAGATTATGTAATAGGTCGTTGGTTTTTCATGGGTGGAAATGTTGATTTTCGGGTGAAAGAAAACAAGCGCTCCGAAAATCATATCTTTATTTTATCTGTTTTCTTAAGTGTTTCTTTCATACAACAACAACAACAAACGATAGAGTAGTAGCTTATACATGGATTTTCTATTATGCGTGCTGACACAACCGCAAGTTCTGATTGAATCTGTTTAATAGATACTTGTAAGTACAAGTTTGTACTCTATAATTACACATAAGAATGCTATGTCACAACTGATACAATACGGTTGACTAGCTTGTCACGCGCTGACATGGAATGTTACTTAGAGTGCAAAATTCCGTCCCTGAAAAAGAAAAATTTATTTATTTTTTATTCAGATTTATGGAGAAAAAATTTTCCTATTAGGTGTCAATAATAAATTTCGTGAATACCTGAAATAATACCATTAGCCAAAGTGATCAAAAACAATTCCGACAAGATGTGTTTAAAGTTCTTAAAAATATTCTACCTCAGTAACCCATCTTTAAATAATTTTCCGTTGTTTGATACATTTGTTTCTTAGAGCTACGCATGCAGGTTTTTGACAAAAAAGACAACATTTCTCAATTTAGGAGTAAAAAATCGATTGTTCTGAAGTTCCATTCCAACAAGGTAATGATGCCATCTCAAAATTTTGTTAAGCGAATTTTACTTTAGTAAAAGTGTACTAATTTTGTATCTATGGAGCGGATCAGAAAAAAAAATTGAACTAAAAGTGCAAATATACAGGGTTGCTAAAAAGAATGGAAGCAGTTGAATATCTCGGGAACGGTTAGTTGGACCTTCTTGAAATTTTGGCTACATAAAAATAACCAAGCTCTATTTTCTGTAATAGTTTTTAACTTTAAACTTCATATGTTTTCAAGATGCAAGGCTAACTTGATTTTTTTTTAAATAGCATCACTAGTCATACCGTCAATTTTTGAATATAAGAATTTTTCTTAATTCAGAACTGTAACACATGCATACACTATTTTTAACTAAAATGGCAAATAAAATGATAAATTATATATTTACTATGAATAAATTCTAAAACAGAAAATTGTAGTTAGTTTTGAAAATACTGTCATCCATTTGTCAGTGTGTACTGAAAAGCAAGCTTCTACATCCAGGTTTAAAAACATTTCAATAAAACACTAAAATGTCACCATTAACAGAAACTGAACGAATAGAAATCTTGATGGTAGGATATGACGAAAGACGCCGAAGCAATACTGAAGTAGTGGTTTTTAATGAAACTCATCCCAATCGATAACAAGTCTCTAGGTCGACGATTTCAAAAACATTGCGCAGATTTAACGAAACTGGTAATGTTAGAAATCGTCAAAGAACCGAAAGACCAAAAAGTGTTACAAATGACGAGAACTCTTTTAATATCATGTTAGATGTAACTGAAAATCCAAAAGCTTCAGTGCAATGATTGGCATTAAACCACATTTGAGTAGAGGCTGAGTTCAAAAAATGTTAATTGCCGTAACTGTAGATATTAGTCCAATACAAATCCACACTGGATGGAGGAGGTTCATACACAGTATGAATATTACAAAAAATTAATGTTTGGTGCGGCATTATTGGTTGTCACATTGTAGGCCCCTTCCTTCTTCATTAACGGAAATTTAACGCCTGACAAATACCTCAAAATTTTGCAACAAAGTATTATTCCTCGACTTAGAAATATATTTCCCGACTATGAGAATCCAAATTTACCTGCAGAGTTCATCTGGTTCCAGCAAAATGGAGCACCACCTCACTTTGACGTCAAATATGGTAGGGTGGGTATGACGAAGGGGGAAGTTGAGTGGCCAGCTAGGTCACCCGATTTAACCCCACTTGACTTTTTTCTGTGCGGTTATATAAAAAATTGAGTTTATGTTAATAGGCAACAAAGCATCGAAGAACTCCAAGAAAGAATATTAAATATGATGGCTGATATTCCTCCTAATATTCTAACAGATCTATTTGAGAAATTTGTGCAACGCATTCAGTATTGCCAGGAGGTAAATGAAGAACATTCGAATATTCGTTGTAAAATTATTGTTTTTTAAATGTTAATTTCATCTTTTTTCAATAATGTAATTTTTTTTCAAAAAGCTTTCATAACAATGCATTCACTATTTACAATCATTAAATCGAAGTATTGTTATTTCTAGATTTTTTTGTAAATTGTCTGGAAACAGCATTTAAAAATGAGTCTGTTACGCTGGCACTTTTCTTTCAGTTTGTGTATCCTCAGTTCTATAATTTTTACAATGATTGGGCAGTAGTATAATTGTCAAATCAAACGAACTTACCTGTGAAGTTCGATTCCAATTATATTAGACGTCCAGTCCGAAGATATCACTTGATTTTAGATACTGGTAGTATGCCCTTTGTGCTACTCTACGCCACTGAGTTTAAAAATTGTTATTTCCCCCTCTCTGGGTACTGCTCCACCGATTCTCCGTTGCTGCGTCATTTTGTTTAAAGTGGAATGCACAACCTGGCGTGAGGGTAAAGATTTATGCCGTGTACGGGTTGGGTGGGAAGTGATATCAATTGGTCAAGGTAACAAGATTGATATTTTGCGGTCTGTAAAATTTTTCGTCCGAAGGCGAATGTGTCCCGCAAGGGTCGATTATAGACTTGTGTAAACATTTTGGAGGTATTAGACCACCCACACACGTTTTGTTTATCATCGCTGAAGACAGCCCGGTCGTTTTTCTGAAGAGCTCGATGCATGTCTCGTGGAATGGGGCGTGAAAATTGATATGTCCACCCCCGATTTTTCCAATATACGTTTGATCCAACGACTAAAGGTTTTGGTTGTGTCTATGTAGTCCGTGAGCGTGATTGCCGCACATGTCGCTGGTTGGTCGAGGAAGTATGGAATGTGCAGTCAGGGCTGTTCCCCGCTGCGAATTGAAGGTTTCGTGGTGTGATCAATGACAAATTTTGAAACCTTGTTCGTCTTCCCCAATCTGAGACAATTTGATAAGATGCAGTGCCTGCAGCCGTTGTCCTGTTATCAACGCTAGTAGGGTAATTAATTTTGCTGATAAAAGGCTGAGGGGGAGAGGGTGCTGGGCGAAGTACGTTTTCAGGTGTCCTAAAACACGACTGAGGTCCCAAGTCGTTTGATATTTGAGTTTTTGGGGCCTCAATCGTTTTATGCCTTTAAGACAATCGTTTTATGCCTTTAAGAAACCTTCTTAGATTACTGTCGTTTCCAACATCGGCGGGCAGGATGACAGCTAACGCTGAGCGATGGGAGTTGAAGGTGCTATTAGCAGCATTCGTTTTTGTATACAAATGTTGTAAGAAGATGATTACCGCCTCTGTTTGGGTGGTGTAAACAGGGATTCCCTTTTCGTAACAATATCTCTATAACTTGTAGCTGACGTTATATTGTCTTAAGGTGCTGGGAGTAATGGACGCTATTGCAGTGGTGATAGCCGCTGGTGGCATTCCCTTCAAGCGTAAGCCTTCCCCGATAATTTCCCTGCCACCAGGGTGAGGTTGGCTGCAAGTAGATGACGTGTCCTGAAAGGGGATGTTAACAGTGACTCGTCTGGTTCAAAAAATATAACTGGGCTAGTCAACAGTCTTTCGAAAAATGGGGACCATGGTTGTGAAGGCCAATGCGGCATTACCACTACGCCCTCAGCTTTGTGCGTAAGACTAGAGCAAACGGTGGGAAAGCGTAAAAGTAATTATAGTTCCAGGGAACAGTAAATGCATCACATGCGATTGCGCCTGGATCTTGATGCCACGACATATATTGGGGCCATTTATGATTCAACCGCGATGCAAATAAATCTATGGTGGGGCAACCAAACCGTTGAATAATTTGTTGGAAAGCTTTTTCATTGAGACTCCATTATGTATCTGTGGAGTGTTCGTGATTCGCGATCTGCGTCTATATTGTCTTTTGGAGGGGATATGTGCCGCGTATAATCATAAATCGCGTATTTCACACCACTGCCAAATTTCCATAGCTAAATCGCCTAGTTGTGGGTGTCGAACGCTACCCATTTTTGATATAGCTTAGCGCGGTGGTATTGCCTGTTCTGATCAGTATGTTGCATGATCTGAGTGGTTTACAAAAACCATTTTAGACCAAAAAATGTTGCTAGTAATTCTAGATAATTGATATGTTTATACGTTTTTCTTTCTCTTATTCCACCAACCGTGTCTATTCTCCCCGTTGCAGTGTGCCCCCCCCAACCGTTTAAAGAAGCGTCGGTGGAAATGATTCGCTGATACTCGTCTTACTGAATATTGTTTTTTTTTTTCTTTACTCGAATTGCGGTGTTCCACCGCATGAAGTCTGGCAGAAAAACAGCTGACAGTTGTATTTTTGCTTTATAGTTTAAAGCATGGTGGGAAAGCGCTTTGCATTTTCCTCCTTCTAGTTGTCGAGTATATAGCCAACCGTATTTAATGGCGGTTGTCCGAATGTGGAGTTCTTGACGTTTCTCCGGATGGAGAGCAATTGTCCTGGTTTTTCTGTTAAATAAAAAACCCTAAGTACTGACATGTCTGTGAGGGGTGTAGCTGACTCTTTGATTCATTGATTATGAATCCCAAGGATTGTAGGACGTGAACGGTTTTTCCCGTTCCCCGTAGGCAACCGGAATATGAGTTGCCAAGTATGAGAAAATCGCCTAAATATTTGGCGCATAAATTACCTTGAGAATGCAAGTAAGTAACCTCGTAATTTTGCTAAATACATTCGGAACTATCGCTAATCCGAAAGGCAGCGCTGTAAATTCGTACAGGTTTTGTTCAAATTTAAATCTCAAATATTTCCGAAGACTTGAGTGAATTGGGATGAATAAATACCCATCGGTAAGATCGAGTGACGTCACATACATGTTAGGCTGTAAAAGTCGTGTGACGGTACGATAATTATAATTATAATTATAATCATCCATTTTGAAGTGAGGTGTCAAAATGAATTGGTTTAAGCGTTTTAAATTAAAGATGAACCTGGAGGACAGCTTCGATTTTTGGCGAAGAAAATATGGGGACAGGTGTTGCTATCTCGATTGCCCCGGTGTTTAATAATTAGGATACGACCTCGGCCAAAGCTGTGTTTTGGGTGCGTGGTAGCTTTCACGTAGGCGGTGCTACTTGATATGGAGTGGCTTGGAATGGGATTTTATAGCCCTTAATCCAGTTTAAGATGTTTGTATTTTTGGTGATCTTTCACCAGACCAAGACATAGTGACTTAATTTGACCAGCATAACGGTGGTTTACCTCAGTTAACGGGGTTGATGGCGATTGTATTTCGTGTGGCTGGATGCCGGGGGTTGCCCTCGGTATGATCTCGTCTCTCCCTGGCGGCGAGTCGGGCCTGCCCGGTTTAAAGACCTATTGCCAGACGTTGATTGTGATGAACCGACTGTTGGTTTGTTCTAGTTTGCCCCGGCGTCTTTTTTCCTGCGAGTTCCCGTGGGAGGGCCAGGAGGCGGGGCCTTCAGGTCGTAGCCCGACTTTTGGAGGGCTTTGGCAGTCTTTAGGCGCTCTGCAAGGACCTCGCCAAAAAAGGGAGGTATCAGTCTGACTTTGTGCAATGTTTCTTTTGCTGACTTGTTGAGATAGGGCAAGACTGGTGTCGCCCGAATTATGACATATGGTAAAAAAAGTTTGTCAAATTTTTTATTGCGTCGGAAACCAATGTCAGAAGCTCTGGCTGTGAAGGGGTGGAAGTCAATAATATATTGAAGGCTTGACCCAATGGTGCCAGCCCAAGGCCCACGTGTTGCTGAGCCGAAAATGCGTGGTTGTCTTTTTTGACGATCAGAGCGGGTAACGCTGGCATCAGTTTCGAGTTTAAAATTGGCGCCTGTAAGTTGGGGCAATTTTTTGGCAGGAAGTATTTATTTTTAAAGACCACGAACTATCCAAGCCGTTAGCTACATAAAGAGTCCAACGACTAGCGAGAGCCGTGTGCAAGGCAAACTCGGTAGTTTTTGATTCGGAAAGGATCGGCGCCAAATATGGTCAAGATCTCCTCCTCCAGAGCCGGGCCTTAGATCGCTAAAATGGGCGAGTCCGGTTCTGTCTCCGCACGAGACGTGGGGTCCGGTTCTGGCTCGGCGCGAGACGCTGAGTCCGCTGGTTTGTCGCTCGAATGTTCGAAGCGTGTTAGCTCGCTGGCGCTGGTGTGATCGACGCTCGCACCTGTGTGTGGGCTGCGTGATCTGGAGCGGCTGGTGGACCGACGAGGACGCCGACTTTTTGCGCGTTCTCGTACGTCTGCTGGGCTGCTTTGACGACGACACTGCCGAGTGGTTACGCAGTTCCGTACATCTGAGTGTTGGCGGTCTCCGCGATAAGAACGCCGAGTCTTTACGCGTGTCTTATCGTGGGACAGGGAGCGGTCGCGACGGCGATGTTTTCGCCTTCGCTTGCAACGGTCTTCCAACGTTCGTAAGCGCCGTTTCAGCTCCCCGCGCGAAAGGCGAGCCGAGGACTCTGAGGAGGTACGGCGATTGTCGGCTGGCATTGTTGCCTGCAAGAGATTGCTGGAAGTCTAAAAATGTTAGAAAGATTACCTGTGCAGATGAACAGGATGTTCTGATGCAACACAGTGAAAAGATAATTTGCTGGTTGCAGAGACTCGTGGTGTCGAGGCGGCCACAAAGGAACGAATGACGCAGCAACGGAGAATCGGTGGAGCAGTACCCAGAGAGGGGGAAATAACAATTTTTAAACTCAGTGGCGTAGAGTAGCACAAAGGGCATACTACCAGTATCTAAAATCAAGTGATATCGAGGACTGGACGTCGTGATATAATTTTTGACTAAAACTAGAACTTGAGTATGCCCAGATTCAACAAACTGTTGTCGCGATATTCAACTGCTTCCGTACTTTTTAGCGACCCTGTGTCGTTAATGAATAAACAGCATCTCATAGTTTACTTAATTTTAAAATTAATTTCCTAAACAAAGGTTCCTTTCTAATATCTTGCATTTAATAAACATACAAATTTTGTTAAAACAATAAATTAAGGAAAACTATGCAAAAATGTGCGGAGATACCGATGAGAAAGAAGCGACAACAAGTGAAGGTGATAATTTCATCTTTTATAAATTCATTATATTTAACGATCATACAGAGGAAGTGCAAATTTGAATAACCTGAACGAAAATCCTATAAAGAATAAAAAAGCTTTAGGCGCTGAGGCTAGCTGAAATTGAAATCCGTCCTCGTTACAGTTTAATGAATAATACATGTTAATTTGATGCTTAGTACCGGCTGCAGTAATGAAGAGTTTATCACATTAAGGAAAACATATGTTCATCAGCGACGGTTTCTAAATCAAGAATCTGTAATGAAATAGCTGAGCGGACATTAGTCGGAATACCTTTTTTACTGTCATCGCAAGAAATATTTCAGCATCGTAACAGCATATCAGATGCATATGACATTGATAAGTTACAGCCAAATAGTTTTTTTTTAATAAATTTTAAGCTTGATAGTTCTGCTAAAATAATCTATTAGCAATTGAAACTGAGACAATGTATTTCAAAGAAAGCATCTTTGTAATGAGGCGAAGTATCAGAAAAATATCCTTCGATGTTTCCTGAAGAGTGAAAAATAATTTATCGTTATATTTTCTTTTTACAACAAAATTTCATCAGAATGAATAATTTAACTGTTATTATATCCATTGTTACGAAGTTAGATACTTGTCTTACCTGTAACATTCACTTTTATAAAAGCATCAAAATAACATATCCTTTATTATCATAAAAATCAAACGTCAGGTACCTGCTCGTTTGTGAAAAACAACCAGTCTGCACCGAAGGGTACAAGACGTTTAACGAGGCCTCCAAAATCGTGTTTGCTTTTATTTTATATTAAACTTTTTTGCTTCAAAGTATTGAGTTTCACGGTTGAGTTTGTGCAAAGATATTTTTATAAAATACTTCCCAACCTTCCCAACATGGAAACTAAACTTTAAACGATGTCAAGAACCAGAAAAAGTGGCAAAAATAGCTGCTACATCACATTGTCTTGCATTGTAAACGATTTGATACATGTTTGGGTTAAACTTCGGAGTGTGTAAAATTTTTTGTAAGAAACACGAAGATAAGATATGTCTCAAAAGTTCGAGTACATTACATACATCTCATACAAACATGTATTTTGCATCCAATATCTATATGTTATAAAGCAGAGTGAACTGGCTTTTTACTTCAGTTGCCTACACACATACTTTTTTAAAAGTGTGTAAGCTTATATGTATTAAAAGTTTAGTGTACAATATACAGAGTGTCCTAACATGGACTATTAAAAAGTTGACTCTACTAACAAACAAGTTTAGACCTTATTAAAAATATCTAGTTTATTACTTAGGTGTAATATGATTAATTTGGCGCGGTCTCATTTTCCGTGGTGAAGAGTAGACGATCAGAAAGAGAGAAAAAAACTCTAGCGCTAATTAGAGAAAGATTTTTGTTTACAGCAGGTTTTTCTTCAATAATTTCGAAATCCTTTTATTTCTGTAGGTACACAGCCTTGTTCAGTTGCCTGCCATTCACTTCCTTATTTTTTACGTAAAATTTATAAAATAAAAAACGTCGATTCTGGGTCCTTTTTGTGTTATTTGAAACAAATTTACTTATAAAATAATAAGAGAATTTTATTCATGCTAAAAAAATTTGCGGTCTTTTATAAAGGGTATTGATACAGTACTTATCTCAAAAATTATGCATACTTTAATCATGTGGGCGACATTTGAATGACAAAAAGCTGAATTAATTTGCATATCTTGAGCGTACATATTGTAGGATATAACATTCTAAGTTAGGAACAAAGCTGAAATTACATTTACATATAGTCATATATTATAATACTAAATTTTAAAAAGCAGTGTACAGTTATTGGCACTTTCAGGGTAGAACGAACGTCTTTTGAACACTTGACAAATTGATATATTTATTATAAAAGATTATAAAAAAATTACCGAATAACTGTTTAGCTTTTATAGAGATCATTTTAAAATGTCCGGTTCTTTTACTTGAAAAACACATAAACATATAAAGCTTTGACGTATTTTTGATGTCTGCTCTCTCTCCTATCCGACTGATGCTTAGCTGCACTCGAATACACGGTTAACCTGAAAAGCTGGGTATTGAACTATTGATTAAGTCTGTGATGTTGGTTTTATTTTTAAAGACGGAAACGTGCTATTCAGAAAATAAAATTTAGTTCGTTTTAGAGTTTTCCCGATAAACCAAGGATGCTAAAAAATGCTACCACATAATTCTGGCAATAACTATTAAGTAAACTTTTAGGACAACATACATTTTTCCACACTCACAAGCTACATATGCAGTACAAATCATATGCATATGAAACCTGAATGAAAGTCATCAAAACATTGTCACATATTTTCTGCTTAAAGAACAAACAAGTTCCAAAGTCGAATATCGAACGACTGCCACACCTCCAAGTGGCTATTTTGTAATTTCAGTGTAAATTTGTTTCACATTTTTAAATTCAGTGCCAATTCTGACGTTAAGCTGATACTCTACCGTGAGAGCAGAATTATTGACTGTTTTTCGGTCAAACTAACACCGTCTAGCATTTTTTCCAGAACAACTTTCATTTGAATACGTTGCGCAAACAGCATGTTTTATAGTGCAAAAACTAGTTAATTGGTCGAGTAATTGCATGGATAAATTTCAGCTTCAATTTTTGTTGTTAGCTCTGTCCTACAATTACTCGATTTTTGTCGGAATAATTCACCAACTTGTGCCCTACATATCCAGCTCGGTTGTCATCTCTGTTTATAAATAATGGAACAATCTCTAGGGAATATTCGAGGCAATTTCACACGACCAATTACAAAAGTATACAATTAAGATGAAAACAGACTTATGTATCTCACGAAAATGAAGAAAGCATGTGCGTAACCATACAGCGGTGTGTTTATCTAATTACCATACTGACCTAGATTAGACGAGACGTATTGTTATGCACGATGTCTTTGTGTGGTTTTTGAACATATACAGGTTCCTCACTGGGTAATCTCGGGTTTGGCTCGTGACAAGAACCAAACGTTCATGGGTTCAGATTTACCCTTCATAGTCACCGGACCGCGGTACTCGAAGTGGAACTGCTCGTCGTAGTTGTCCTCCTTGCACAGGAATCTAGAATGGAAAATTGATACGTTTCGTTTAAAATTATGATGATCCACAACTTCTCGCTAAAAAGAATAGTCGTTACAATGTTTAAAAGCGAACTTTAGAGAGAGATAATGACCAATGCAATTTTTAACAAATGAATTAAATACATACAACGTGAATTATCTTAGCAGTATCTATAATTACTGAAAAATTATCATAAATAGGAAATTTCACAATTGGAAATTTTTAAAGATCTTACACTCAACAAATATAAAGAACAATTGTGTGGCAACAGTTGCCAGACGTGACTATTATGTGCAAACATTACGAAGTGGTGATACTTGTAGATCATAAATCAATATAAAGCCGCATATAAAAGTACGTAATTAACTTTTTCTTTTCATGCACTGAAAGCCAATATGACTCACCACAGTTTTTTCAGATTATAACTGATACACCTAGACATAATCCTTTTTACGATAATTCGTACATGTTATGCTAACAATGAGATTATCAACCCCAGTCGAGGGAGCACACCAGGCTGTGCGTCTAAAATGAGATTTTGTTAATAATATTTTCAGATATTTTTTGCATATTTTCAAGCGAATAGACATGTTTTGGTTAACGTGGTTACGTTTTTACGGTAGCCTAAGTATACTTCAGTTTTTCAGGAATCCTTATTACTTGTAAATTTAGGTAAACTCGAGGAGTGATAGTTGTGGAAAGCATTATGACGAAAATTTAATTTAATAATGTTTATAGAATTTTAAACTTCAGAAATACTCCAAAAATTGATTGCTTTGAAACTCAAGTTTTGTTTTAATATTATCGAGATCGATAATCGATATTACATTTATATTAATACCGCTTGTTGTGATACGCAAACATGCGACCTTGATTGACGTTCGAACACAGTTATGCACAACTATGAATTTATTGACAAATTTCTAACCTTTTATATGTTGTATAATACGTTGAATGTCTTTTGATGAATAAATTGATGTCGACTGGAATAAAACTGAACGGGAATGACAGCAATCTGACACTTCTGATGGAAGGAAGCCAAGTCAGATGTCAAAAATATAAATGGATCATGCGCAAGGGTACCACTTTCTTTAAATTATTTCTTAAATTAAGTTTTAGGTGAAAGATGTTGCATTTGCATTGGTTTAAATTATAAATGTTAAAAGTAAATGTAAATGAACGAGTGTAAATTCAGCATACAACGGCTTCGGCGCTCTTTAGTTATAACTGCTAAACATCGATAAAATAGGAAACTATCGATAAAATCGATATTGCAGTGTAATGTACGCTTAGCATACTTGGTTAATAATTTTGACATATTTTTATTTCTGCACATAGCCCTGTTCAGTTGCCCGCTGTTTACTTTTTTACTTTTTACGTAAAAGTTATAAAATAAAATTCCCCAATTTGAGGTGTCTGAAACTAATTTACCTATAAAATCATAACAGAATTTTATTCATTGTAACCAAGTTATGTTATCTCAAAAATTATGGATACTTTAATAATGTGGGAGGCATTCGAATGACAAAAAGATGAATTCATTTGCATATATTCATAAAAAAATGTTCTTCTACATGTTCTCCCGTTAGAGAAGTGCGTAAATTATGATAACTTATAACTGTTAATCATTTTCGAACGAGTGGGCCCCAAGATACCAAAAAGAAACAAGCGCATTTATTTAGTCAACGTTTCGCCCCTTTATTGGAGCTTCTTCCAGGACTTATTGTATCAAGACGGTGGTCGTATTATGTTGAATTGCAACAAATTTAAGAATCCGGCTAATAAGAAAACTAATTTCAGGTCCATATAACAGTTTTTGTGTAAAATATTATATCGGGGGAGCAGAAAAAAATAAATTTTCAAAATATATTTTCATAATATATTTTTGATCGTGTTAGTTTGTACAGTATATACAGTTATCAATTTTTTTTTTCGGCATTCTAAAATTTCGGTACAATTCTATATATCGCTTTTTAGATAAATCCATATTATTGGACTCACGCATCGAAAGAACATCAATTCATCGATATACTGACCACCCTAATCATAATTCGTCTTCTTATCCCTTCCAAACTCTTGTTGGCGTTGCGTCTCAAAATTTTATATACAGTAAACGTTGTTTAAAACAGTGTGTGGGGTTATTTCTTTATCTGTGGTTTAATAGTGGATCCATATTTTTAATAAGTATGTATTCTTAAGATTACTGCGAAAAAAAATAGATTATTTCGACAGAACTTCCCTAGCCCCTAAAGTGCAATAATAATGCAACAATACAGAAAAACAAATTCAACTTTTTCGAGAAATTATAAAATTTGGTTATGTGAATTTTATTTTTTTTATAAAAACCCTTATAAGTTAAAATAAAAATAAGTTTGCAAAGAAGCGTGCTGGGTGTCCGTTTCAAATGAGTTTTTCCTTAACAAAATTTGGTGGTGACGTCATCAACATTTTTGAACTAGACACGTATATTACTTTGGGTATGTCTATGTGCAGTGTAATATTAATTATAACAGTACTGTATTTCCAAGTTTTCTGAAAAATGGAGTGAGCCGTTCCTGATTTAATTAATAAAATAAATTGACTTATTCATTAATTCTTATAAATCACCCTGTATAAGAAATTCAAAAACTTTTAATGCAATAATAAATCACAACGCATCACATTTTGCACATTTTACGTAGGATTTATTCGGCAAAATTTTGAGATCATCAATTTTTTGGGGAGATAAACAGTACATATGCTTATGATAAGTTTAAAACGTCTGCAATAAATAAATAAATAAAATGACGACCCTGTATAAGTAATTCAAAAAACTATGAGTGCGTTGATAAACCAAAGTATCGGGTCATAATATTTTGCATATTTCAGACAGGATATATTCGGCAAAATTTTAGGATGACGTCATCAATTTTTTGGGAGGAGATAAACGAATATATTTTTCTTAAACCTTAAAATGTTTACAATACTTCAGAGCATTCGATTTTGCAGTTTCAAATTTAAATGGAAAAATATTGCTACATATACAATTTTGAATTTTTTTCAAACATTCTGGATGTCTAGGTGAAAATTTGACACGGATTCACACACCACAATTGCAAAAAAAAATACTATCATAAATTTTCGAGATGACGTCATACCATTGGTGGTGGGAATGATTAGCCAAATTTATTTAGCATTTAACCATCTACATGATATTCCAAATATACATACAAAATATGACAACAATCGGTCCGGTAGTTTTGGAGAATACGTCTCTAATAAAAATGAATACAGACGTCAGACAGACTGACAGACAAACAGACAGACAGACAGACGGACAGATAGAGAGACAGATGGAAACGGGAGATTATTTTTTTCGTACTCTAGAGGTCATGATACGTCGGGAAAATATCACAGTGGCAATTCGTCCGATGGACTCGGTTACTATATTTCTTTAGCTTACGCCCAAGAAGTAATAAAATTTGCAGAAATAAATTTTACTACGTAGTAAACTTATTCAAAACTTTGAGAAGATACTTACATTGATTTAATGATTTTAAAAGTAAGATTAAAATTTATTTTTTCTATCCTTCTAGAAAGAAATGGCATCGTCCTAAAAATTAAATGTTTGTACTTCAGAGGTGGGGGAACTTATGTCAGAGTACTTCTAAAGCTTTAATACTTAACGCGTACGAGTTGCACTAAAAGAATACATTTACACCATAAAATAAGAAAGTAAAATTTCTTTGTGACTTCGAAAAAACTGCAAAACTAGATCAATTTTTAGTTAAATAATAGTTATTTATATTACAAGTGGGATAGAGGCATCATTATAATTACGAGTGCAATGAGTTACCAGACGAGGGCGTTAGCCCGAGTCAAGTAAGAGCACGAGTATTATAAGGCCACTATCCCACGTGTAATATACAACGTTTTATCTACGACTTCTTAAAAGTAGGTTTTTTTAATTTTTTCATTCAAATTTCAAACATTTCCGGAGCTTGCAAAATAAAAATCATAACAGTAGGTATTTATTACCACGGTAACCAAACAATTTAGTTGTAACCAATGTGTCATCTTTTGCAATTTTTGTGGTGCCTTGAGAAAAACATTACAAATGAAGCTAATGAGAAGGTACTATTAGTTTATTTTGAGTATTTATCCAAGCGTTATAAATATGCCAGCCTTTGGACATTATTCAATGATAAGAGCGATGATATCTATGAAAAGAAATATTGACCTCATCAAATATATCCAACTTGTTACATTTCTCAAGAGGAAGTCGGAAGGGTATAAACTCAAAAAATTTTCTCTAAAAAGGATATGACCACCTTCCCGCAAGAATATGAAGATGAATAATGGTTACTAACGAAGGTATTAAAATTTTCCTGATATATTCATATACTTAGAAATTAATTTTCAGGGGGTTCTGATTATGGGACTTGCGGGTGCATGTAGGAAGGAGGAATGAACTAATTTGCTGTTTGAAAACGTGAAAGATGAAGGACATGTTTTCAACGTTAGAATACCGAACACAAAAACGAAAATTTCTAAAGATTTTTTTATAACTTCGGGGAACATTGAAGGGCTTAATTTGGTTAATTTAATAATACAAATGCAGTAAATTTTATAAATAATTAAATATTGTTAATAAATTAAGTTTTCATAGTTGACTGTTATTATAATACTAGTTATACAGGGTGCCGCATCCAAGTCTGGACATAGGGAATTAACATGGCAAGTTGGTTTTTATTTTATAATATCTCCCCAGATCACTTTAAAGCTATTACTGAGTGATGCCTTTGTGGAGGTCGAAGAGGGCTATCGGCCAGTATTTTTTTCAAATCGTTGCATCGCGTTCATTTACTGTAAAAAGGTTTTAAAAATCGTATTTTGAAATTCGCGCCCGATCCGAGTTGTCGCGAAATGTTCCGTCGCACTATCGAAGTTCGGCGATCGCGTCTTCCGATTAGCCATGCAAAATGCAAATGTCAAAGTGAAATTGGAAATTATTCTCAGAAATCAACGAACAACTCAAACTGATTTATTTTATCCAGTGTGATGATTATTGTAGGACAAATTAAACGGAATAAATGCACAAATTGATCAATTCATTCGTCATAGTACGCGACCCCGTCAAACGATTCATCTCGAACTACACTCAGGCTGTATCCAAAAAGCCCGAGATGAAGACTTCGAGCAGCTGGTCTTCCTGTAAACCCCATCGACAGCATTCTGACATGTCCTGGGAGCCCTTCAAGCTAGGAATGTACATTCGTACCGAAAAGACGAAGAAGAAGAAGCTACGGATGTACTCGCGCTGCCTCACTCAGTAATCACTGAACGACTCAAATTGAATTATTTTATCCAATATAACGATTATTATTGTAGGTCAATTTAAACGGAATAAATGCACAAACTGCACAAAATATTTTATTAGGTTATGTTGGTGGTGCTGGTCGAGTCTTTACTACTAAAATCTCATTAAAATGCCATGTTCTACTGCGATTAGATGAAAAAGCGAGGGCCCGCTTTTCTTATTGTGTGATGATAAGATTTACCATCAAAAGAGCTGGCGCTTTTGAAGAGAACCTTTTAATGAACCATTTAGATAACTACAAATAACAAAATTTAAAAATTGTTGATGAATGAAGTAATGAAATATTATACGAATCTGGAGAAGCATTGCACTATTTTCAAGAATTGCTCAAAAAGACTGCTCTCAGCAGCCGTACAGTAAGTACGCCAATCTTAAAAACTCCTACGCGTGTTGATTAACATTTGAGTTGAAATCTGAAGACAATATTGCTGGATTGCTTGTTTCAGCGCGTCTTGTATAGCTCGTATTGTTCGAATACAGATGCTCGTGAAGAAATCTCCAAAGAACAAATTGACAGGGGTTTAGATCTGGCGAATGCACAGGCCAATGGGGCGGTGCAAACTTTCCATTCCAACATTGCGGGAAAATACTGGTTCAAATAAACAACATTTATGCGAGTTCTATGGCTGGAGATTTGATCCTGCATGTAAAAGATCTGCTGCAGATGCCGCACCCTTCGAGTCCTAGGAAGTATTTGCTGATCTAGCATATTGTCCTACTTCTGAGCATTCAATCCAGATTCGATGAAAAAAGGTGCAATGACACGATGTCCTAGAAGCCCCAGTCACACACTGACAGTTGCACGCCATTGATAACGATGGTCATGGACCACGTGAGGGTTGTGTATTGCTCAAATTTGATCGTTCTGACGATTATAACTTCCCTTAAGACCAAATGAACATTCGTCAGTAAAACAAATGTTCCTCAAAAACTCTCCATCAGCCTAGATTTTCTCAAGCGTTCCTTCGTAAAACTCCATACGTGAGTAGTCCTCAGGCTTTAATTTTTTGTCATGATGCTTTTTGAAACTCTTCTATCCCATCTGATTAAGATCCCTAGAAGACGTCGTGCCCACCTGATAAGAATCAGAGCCAGTGAATTGTTTCTACCACGGATCGTACAAGAGCTTGAGATAATCTGATTGGTGCCAATGACACGGCATCCCTTACAACAGTTACTAATTAGTAAAAGTTCTTAAATGCATAATTCAAATTGTGGCGCCAAACATGCACCTGTTAACACCACCTGATTTTATGTAATTTTTATTATCTTTGAAAATAAATGTAACTTTGTTTTGTGAAATATTATTTTTATTTTTGTTGTTGTTAACACAATAAACAAATAAAACAGTAATACAAAAGTTTCTGAATCCCAAAACACATTCATAATACAGAAAAATATTTTAAAATGTTGATGAGTGAATGTTCTAGATTTCTCTCTCAAAAATTTCTTGTAACGAACATGTTTCCATGCGGCAAAAACTCCATCCCTGCTTAACGAATGTAAAATCAATTGACTTCCAATCTTTGGTGATTCAAAAAAAAGTGTGAAATTTATCCAAATTACCTACTAATTAAATTAACCGTCGAAGAACAAGCAGGCCCTCCGCTTTTTCATCTAATCGCAGCTGCTCGAAGTCTTCATCTCGGGCTTTTTGGATACGGCCTGAGTGTAGTTCGAGATGAATCGTTTGACGGGGTCGCGCACTATGACGATTGAATGGATCAATTTGTGCATTTATTCCGTTTAATTTGTCCTACAATAATCATCACACCGGATAAAATAAATCAGTTTGAGTTGTTCGTTGATTTCTGAGAATAATTTCTAATTTCACTTTGACATTTGGATTTTGCATGGCTAATCTGAAGACGCGATCGCCGAACTTCGACAGTGCGACGGAATATTTCGCGACAACTCGGATCGGGCGCGAATTTCAAAATACGATTTTTAAAACCTTTTTACAGTAAATGAGCGCGATGCAACGATTTGAAAAAAATACTGGCCGATAGCCCTCTTCGACCTCCACAAAGCCATCACTCAATAATAGCTTTAAAGTGATCTGGGGAGATATTATAAAATAAAAACCAATTCCCATGTTAATTCCCTATATCCAGACTTGGATGCGGCACCCTGTATAATGAAACATCATTATAAAACTAGTTACATAATGAACATCATTATGTAACTGATAATGAGTTATATAAGAGTAACTTTATTAACAAGTCGTAGATAAAATTAGTTAAATTAAATTAATTAAAAGTCATTTACCTAGTGGATTAGAATATTTTAGAGTTAAATTTTTTCTATATTTAAGAACTAAATAATGACAAGTAAAAACTAACAATGGTTTTGAAAACGTTGTCTGATGGTCTACATTTTTTTCAAATATTTCGTCAAAAAAAAAATGGTTGAAAATATTCCCGATTTCTGCATAAAAATTCATTACCACCCAGTACATGCTACGTTGTTTAATTTTTTTCTTGCTCTTCTAGTATTAAAGTAACGCCTTCGAACAGTTTTAATTTTGGCAGCCAGATATGTTTATTGAGTTTTCATAGGGAGAGATAAATTTTCTTTTCGAAATGAATTTTCAGTAGATCAAAAAGGTGCACATTGAATTGCTTAAAAATATGCATCGTGTTATCGAGATATGTTTTACTTGGAAGGCGAATATAAAAAAATTGCTTTTTGCAGATTTTTTGGTTGCCTGTTTTGTAAAAGGGAAGTAGAATTTTTAAACTTTATAATGTTAAGCCTATGCCCTTCTGTTTGAAATTTCTTTAAAACTAACTTTTATTTCTCTACAATTATTTGTTTCAAAATTAAACCATTTTTCGTAATTTTAGTAAACTGAAAACATGAAATTATGATAAGGGGTGTTATAATGTTTAAGACTTTGTCTGTCTGTCTGTCTGTTTGTCTGTGTATGTGGTACTGTAGCTACCAAAGGGATGAACCGACTTCAATGTTTTTTTTGTTTGAAAGTTGGTTTAATAGGAGTGGTTGTCAGCTATGTTTAGTAATAATTATTTCAGCCATTCACGATCATCAGGTCATAACACTGTTCGTGCAACAATCAACTGAGTTTGCGCGAAAGTGGGGATAGCTTGTCAACCGTCGCAACGAATCTTAACCAATTTCAGACATTTTAAGGGTTAAGTTTTTTGTGCTGGATTTTTTAAGTATTAACACTTATGCATTTATGATATTCATTATAAATAAGGTTTAAAAAAATTCTCTTCCGTCAAATTTTATTTATTTATTTAATTTACTTTCATTTTTTTTATTTTAATGGAACAATTTTGATAAATTTATATTTAGATTCCCTAATTCTGTTAGTCTGTCTGCCTGTCGGAAATTTTTTGAAGTAGTAAGAACAGCATCCATGAGTATGAAATTTTGAACGTATTTTAAAGTTACTATCGAAATAATGAAAGACTAATTTATCTAATCATCTCGTTCAAAAAATTATTAAAGCCATCTTAAAATACTGTTGCATACCAATTTTTAACTTTATATCTTATCAAAAACGAATTCTGATCGAAGTTCAAAAAAAACTGAAGACGGATGTTTTCCTGTATAAATAACTTCACAGTTTTGTTGTGTTTCCTTCAGCAGCACTAAAGAACTTAAGTATATTTCTTAAATTTACCACTGTACAAATTTTGTATTAATAAGAATTGAAAATACACGTTCCCGATGTCTTTATTTTTTGTACTTATTACGAATTAGCTTTTAGATTTTTTTCTAGCATGTATACTTTTTTCAAAACATTTATAATCAGGAAGTTAAACGGAAATTTTAGTTATACTGGCACTAGAAATGTAGCAATTTTACGAGTTTGACTCCTTCACTACCTTTGTTAACGAATAATGCAACTTATTAGGTTCGATCCCAAACTTAATTAGATGCTCTAAGACCAGTGTTGGTTTAAGATGCTCTTTGTTCACAGACGACAGGGTTGAAAAAATCGAAGTCTTAAAACCATTACGTCTCTTGTGTAAGTATCATTGGTTGACATGATCACATTTTTCTCAAAAATGTACCAATTCGAATATTTCCGAATTTGGAACGCATATTACTATAGCTATGTCCACCCTCCGATAATGTGATATATCAGAAAAATCTGATTGTAGATATAGAATAAACATGTGCAACTGAGTGAAATCCTTACTCTATTCTTGTTCTTGATGATTTTTGGTTGTAGACTAAATTACAAATTCAATTTAGTACTCAATAGATTTTCTTTTTATAAAATTTTAGATAGTCTAAACTGTCTAATTTAAAATCTCTTCCAGAAATCATTGTCATAACTATTTACTATTGATTTTCTCTATAATATATCAGTCCCGGCATTGTGTATTTAATCCAACCGAAGAATCCCTTCAAAATCTATTAATCTAATAACCTGCTGTATATTACAAGGCACACTTTAGTTGTCCGCTTATTTACACTTGTCAAACCCATGTCATCTTCATGGACTACCTTGTCAAATGTTATCTCGACCAATTCCATACCAGCCCCCGCAACACCCTTCATGATCGTCGAAATCGCCGCATTATGGTCACCTACATTAGCACTTTGATCGAAGCGTGCATTAGAGGTAAAGAAAAACCGCAGAAATCTTACAATTCCTGGGTTCTATGATTTTATAGGTATGAATTACGATCCGGAGACGGCTGTACGTGATGCAATCATTGCAATAATACGATACCATGAGGAGAACCGCGTCAACAACGGTTCCGTATGCATGATGGGTCGATTCCACAACATCCTGTACGTGGCTATGAAGTTGTGCTACGATTGGCAATTGAAAGACACAGGAACTGTTGTGACCCTTCTGGAGAATATACACGCTTGTGAAGGAACGTTTGAGAGGATTTTTATCGGGGCCATTTTCGGGAACAAGGCTCCTTATTATATTGCAGGATGGAAGAGCGATTTTGATAACCAAGAAGAAAATCTTAGAGCTGTTGTGTATTTTGTGGATCATGCTACTACTGGAGGGTTGGAATTTGACGGTAAAGAAGGAAAAGTTGTTAGGTTTATTGACGTTCCTATAGATAGTTGTGGAGATTTATCCACACCGGCAACAATTGCTCTTCAGCTTGGACTTCCGGACAAGCTCCACATTTTTTTGAGGTATGGTGCTTTGATCGACGATCATTTAGTAGAGTACATCCTCAAAAGATTATTGGAGTTTTGTCACGTTTATCCCTACAATATTGTTGCATGTCTTCAGTTAGTTTTACGAGTGACTTCGATGATAAAGTGCGACAGGAACACACTTTTGGAAAACTACAAGGAACTGATAGAAGACGGAATAATTCCTTTAAGTCGATGTGGATTTCAAGTACCTGAATTAAAGCATTTATCACGTTGCTGCATCAGGAAGTGCTTGTGGGAAAACTATCAGCTACCCAATGGAATTTATACTTTTTCACTTCCTGACTCTCTGAAAAAGTACTTAGACATTATGGAAGATTGAACCTACTTGTAAGCCTCCTCGGACACGTTGATCCTTCCGGGTTCTCCGGTGGTTTCCGTGCGACTCGTCAAATTCACGGTATTTCCGAAAAGACAATAGCGCGGCATTCTGTGTCCAATTACTCCAGTTACTACTTCACCGGAATGAATGCCGATTGTGATCCTCTAAAAATAGAAAATGCTTAGTTGATAGATATCGTTTGTTTGTTTGTTTGTTTACCACAGGCTCGCCGTCGTGCAGAACGGATTTACCACGATCCATCATGTCAAGAGCTAATTTGGCAATATTCCGGGCGTGGGTGGAGCAACGTTCCGGTAAACCACTTACTGCCATGTATTTGTCGCCTACGGTTTCCACCTAACAGCAAACAAGGAATATAACTTCGATAATTGGTAGGCGTATGTGTGAGTGTAATGTGAAGCATTAGCAATTTTGGAAATGTGTGTTCACAGTAGTGTAACAATTAATTACAAATTCACACTGGTGTTAGCTTTTAATTACGACAAATTACAACGTTGTTTTAGTGTTTGTTTAGTAACAAAAGCTCTGCTACTATATCGTATTTTGTTATATAAGCATTAAGACATGTGAACAAAAAGTAAGCAAAATGAGCGCCAAATGGGATCTACTGGAAAATTTTGAATACTAATTGTAATTATAAATTGAAGTACAAATAATTTTTTTGTATTTGGAATGTGACCTGATTTTAATGCCAATGTAAACAAAAACAAAAATAAATACAGAACATATATTTTAAAGGTTAGATTTGATTACTTACTTAAAGAAATTAAGTGTTGTGATATATATTAGAGAATGATATATGAAACCGTGCAAAAAGTAGTGAAAAGTAAAAATAAACTACCAAATAAAGAATTTGCTTGTCATTATCTTTGGCAAGTGATTACAACGGCAACAAACCGGTTCATAAAGGTATCGATTGAGAAGTACTAAGGTTTCGCGCTTGACCCAGAAAGGTTGGAATTAATTGTATAAAATTTCTCAGCAAACTTTGCTGCTTTTATTATAGTTTTTTGTTTTTGAAACAGGTGGTAGAGTATCCACTGGATTTTCGTGTTCCGTTCAGTTGCCTATACATTCATAGGCGAGTCAGGAAATGTTTAGAAGTCGATGGTGGGTATTTTCATTATTTGTTGTGAATTTATGAATTCCATAAATAATATTAATAAACTAAATTAATTTTAATTCATTTATCGCGTGCCGTACGTTTTAATCAAAACTGTGGCATCATCTGGATATTTTTAAGAAGTAAACTTATTTTTATAATTTATTTGTTAAAAGAGCACAGAAATGATGTAGTCGTGTTAGGTAGTCGTGATTTGTATCATTATTATTGTTGTTGTTGTTTTTAAATAAAGTTGAAGAATTTCGTTACTTTCCAAGCCAAATCCACATTTTTTAAATCTCTTCCTAAATTACAGAACCTCTTTTAACTGTTGTGAAATAATTTTGTCAAATTTTAAGTGCAGTTTTTTTGCATGAAATTATTTGCAATTTGAAACACATTAATGGAAAATAGAACTGTCTTAGTATAATACTCCTATGTATTATTTAACACATAAATTATTTGACTTATTTGAATTATTTTTGTTAAATTGCACTTCGGTTTAAATATGTTAAGGGAAAATTTCGCTGAATTCAAGTATTATGAATCAAACAATTTTTAATAATTTAAAAAGGAATTTAAAACGAAACAATCTATTCTCACTTGTACTGAAGAAGTGAAAAGAGGAAAATACTAGATCATTTTTAAATGCTTTTTGTTCTTAAAATATATACCGATAGAGCAATAGAAAACCCGTTCAAAGTTGGATTTTTGAAAGTTTGTCTTTGAGCCTTGCAAATGTTCAAAATGACTGTAAATAATATGACAAGATGAAAATTAAATCTTCAAAAATTCATGGCTGCCTTTGAGCGTGTTTTTTATTGTTCTCTTGGAATTGTTTCAATGGCAAGTAGTACGTCAGCACCGTTATTACTTATCAGTGCTTATAACCAACCATCACATAATATGGTTCAAGGTTTTGTATTAGCACCTTTCTTGTTTTTGACATACTGGATTGAATTTCGGTTTATTAACTGTAACGACTAATAACCAAATAATTACTGTTGAAAGCCAATTTAACACGAGCTTTATACATCTAATTTTATTATAAACATTTTTGTTGCTGTGCTGTGCAGTAACAGCTGGCTATAGTCTAGAAAAAACTTATCTACACTTCATGGTCCACTAAATTGACGGACTTTTTCTGGTCTGCTCTATTTCACAATTCAGGTGTTCTCTGCAAACGCTTTTTTGGCACTGGTTGTAATTGATTAAGTAACAATATACATAATGGAAAACACGAAATTTTGAGCTATGCAGGCGGTCTCTGACATCTAATATTTCCGACGCGACCTTAAAATCACTGGCCTTTTAACCGTCATTTAAGGGAAGTCCCCACATTATTAACAAACTCATTGTTATGAGATTTTAAACATACATAACCTGTCCAATAACTTCCGTTATTTAATGCGAGGACATTTTTTGAACAACAGTTTATTATCATATATACATAGGTACATACATATATTTTTTAATTTTGAAATTGTTGTATCAGGTATTTTAAAAAATCAATGTGATAATTATTTATGGAGATTTTGTTGACTTTTTTTGGCGAAAAAATGAATTACAGTGAAAAGAAGCTTCTAGCAGCCTTTACGTGTGTACCAGCGTCCTAGAGCTTTGTAAACTGAAATGAGTGTTAAAAATCGTGTTTTGAAATTTCGATAAATAATTGATATATTGATTTTTAATACCTAATGCAAACATTTTACTAAAACTGAAAAAAAAAGTTGTCGAAGATTATTTCTACAGAACCCTCGCTCCCAAAGTACAGTCCAAAAAATCACCCGTCGGAAAAATATACAATTTGTTTTTGCGAAATTTTATTTCGCATTTAGTTGAGTCAGCTAAAGGCGGATATCTCGAATAACTTTTTTAGTTATTAACCGAAAGTAATGATATTACATTAGCACATGGAGAATAATAATACCTCGCGTGCACACGTAAATCACTGCTTTAAAAAACGAACGGAACACAGTACATTGCAGAAACAACATTAAACTTTTTTTCAGATTTTGCATTTGTTTTTATTAAAAAAAACGAAAAAAATAGCTTCATTAGCTTCACTATTTAATATTCGTCAAATACTGTAACTTTTATAAAAAAAAATAATTTTCTAAGTAACGTTGTTAGCAGCTAGTACCACTTGACGTAAAATTCGTTAAAATGTTGGATTGCATTGTTCAGAAAAATATAATAAATGAAATAATTTCATGAGTCTCAGAAATAGATGCTTCATTACCTACATAAGAACGTGTTTAGAAAACAAAGCTCAGAAAATGCTTTAAAAAAATAGGAGTATTATTTTCAAGAGCAAATAAAACGTATAGTAATAAATAGTGAACTTCGCAAAGTTTTTTTTTGCTCAATGCTTCAGTGAAATAAAAATTCAGATATAGGTGCATAAATAAAAAATTGGTCGAAGGTTACTTCGACAGAACTTCCCTCGCCCTTGAAGTACAGTTCCACAAATCCCACTTCTTTGCAAATTTATACAAAATTTATTATTTAATTTATAAACATGGATAATCCCAGTCACAGAACAAAAGAAAAGTTGTCACAGCACATTACCAGAGCAAGAAAAAAAAATAGGAAACAACCAAGTTCGGCATTGAACCCACGACACAATGCCGCCGGTTCGTCTAGTGAACCGCTGAGTCACTGAGCCACGAGTTAATATATCTCGTAGTGGTAATATAATGTTATTATATCGTGCAATTGTTTTTGAGAAGATTTGAACGTTAAGCGAGACAACTGAAAGCGTATTGGTATACGACAAGTATAGAAGTATAATTTTGTATAACATTCAACATATTTTAAAATACGGTTCATAGAGATGACGGCATCAAATTGTTAGTGAGGATGATTAGCCAAATTTTGGCTAGCATTTAACCATCTGCATAATATTTCTAACATACAAACTTTGGCAACAATCGGTCTACCAGTTTTGGGGATTACGTGTCTAATAAAAATGGCAGTCAGAAACGGGAGACTACTTTTTTAGTGCTGTAGGGGTCATGAAACGTCGAGAAAACATAAGAGTGGCAATTCGTCTGATGGACTCGAGTACCATGTTTCCTTAGCTTACACTTGGGAAATAAAAAGTTATCCGAGGTGTTGTCCCCTTTTAGCCAACTCACCCTATATATAAAAATATAGATAATAGCAGAATATTGTAAAAAAAACAAAGAACTATGAGACGCAATCGAATGTGCGACATGCACGCGAGACCGCTTTTCATTCCACCACCGTCGCGTCGCTTATGAAAGGTTTTTATACAAGTGGAATTTTTTTCTGAAAATGTGGACATCTAGGGTAAAAAATGAATGCCTATTTGTAAACCACAAATACAAAAGTATGTTACTGTATAAAATTTAACTCACGTTTATTGAAAAAAATTTGAGGGACGTTATCAAATCTTTGCTTCGAATGATTAGCCAAATTTTGATTAGCGTTTTATCATCTACATAATATTCCTAACATACATACAAAATTTGACAGCAATTAGTCCGACAGTTTCTGAGAATATATGTTTAATAAAAATCGACACAGGCAGACGACAGGCAAACGGAAACGGGAGACAACTTTTTTCATATTCTAAAGTCATGAAATGTCGAGAAAACATAAAAGTTGCAAATCGCCCGAGAAGTAAAAAGATGATGATAAACTGCTGTTAACAAAACGTTCCGTTATGTAGAGGAAGGTGGAGACAGGTTATATTTAAAATTTGACGACAATAAGTCTGTTATTAAGGGAGATATTACATTTTAAAAAGGTATTGAAATCCCTTGCTGCAAACGTAGCGACTGGCCTTAAATGTTTATGGAATGAGAGTAATATTGCAAACTAAAATTTGTCCAAATTTATAAAACTATGTGGACTTTTTTACTTAAAACAACTAGTTGGAGTGTAACAATAAGATGTGTATTACATAGGTATATACATTATGTTAATTTGGTCATCTCTACACCGCAGGTGGAAGAAAATAAGTAAGTAAACAGGTATGAGTATTTAAGTTTGGTCAGATCGTTTTTACCATTTCTAAGATCACTTAAAGTTCATGTATTCTTGAAAAGTGGTGTGTTTGAAAGACTGTAGTTATGTGATTTACTTCAAAATTTTATGCAACTTCATGTTTAATTTCTCATGACTTGATTCTCATTAAGTTTGCTGCTATGAAATTATCATGACAGAAAATATTTAAAAAAAATTACGACCATGATTGGTGCCATCAACATAAAATTCTAAAAATATAATTCATCCCATAGTAACTTATTAGTCATGTATGATCTCCCATAATTGAGGGCTGATTACATTCCCTCTAAGACGGAAAGCATCCTGATCTTATGGTAAACTTAAATAAATCCATAATAGAAGCACTGTTACTTGGTATTTTAAGAGTTTCAAATAGTACACAAAACATCTATTCGATTAGATTCCTGTCGATTACTAAATTAGTGATCAAGATTCAAACAGTTATCTTTATAAAAGTGAGTATGTTAATGTTTCGATTATGTTATCGGAACATTCTCAGTACAACGTTGGACGGGAAGAACTCTGAACTGAAAATTTGACAACTGTATGAAAATGGTTTGACCATAGTCGGCTTTCTTATAATAGAGACAAATTCAAAAACCATAAACAAACAAAACCCATCAATAGCAATGGAGAAAGAAAACGATTTGCCGGATGTGATATAAACTACATTACCGGACTAAACTGTAACAAAGTCTGCAGATCAGGGAAAATACGAAGGGAAAGTTGTACTGGTTATTAATTTGCATTAAAGGAACTGTAAAGTCAACGGGGTGAGTAATTCAAAACCATAGAAATAATATTTTATGGAAGTAACTTAGAGAGAGACGCGCGTTGTCAACACAGTGGGACAGAGATAGGGCTCTCTGGGTGGCAAAACATTGACGCGTTTCTTTCGTGCTATCGCACGGCGTTTGAAGGTGTATTTTTGCAAATTTACGTTTTTTAGGCTCAAGTTACCTTATTTAAATGTCTACAGTCTTCTTAAGTTGTATTTTATCGGACCATTTGTTAAACATCGTGAAATCGTGTTGTGCGTATAATTGCATAGAACGTGCAAAGAAAGCAATCCTGTTTCATTTTATAGGTAATAATCACATACACAGATGAAGAATTTCGTAAATAATTTAAAAATTTTGTTAGATTCCCTAAACATTCCAAGTTATTACAACTGATTATTGCTACAAAAAGAGGGAATTTTATATCTATTGATTATTATTGTTTTAGTTATTTGTACGTGGATTTAGAAAATAGATTTTAGTAGAAATTTCCACACAATTTAATATGTTTAATTTAATTAGGCACCCTGTCACTTTTATCGAAAATTTAATTACTTTTATCCTAAAAATTTAAGAATTACCAATGAACATACAGTACAAGATTAGTTAACTTGTAGAAGATTATTGTACTAATTGAATTTGTAATATATTGCGGATTCTGTATACATATCATTTTATTAAAAAATTATCTCCACCACTTAACATGATTTTTGTTGTTTCACATTACACATTATTTTAATGTAAACTGTAAAAATATAGTTTTCATTAACAGACGTTTGTTATAATTGATTGTTTGCACAAATTCGTAAGAAAACGTATTAATTCCCGTTCAAATGAAGCGTTTCTTGCCACCCAGCACGTGATACGTGGTCAGTCGTCCTTTCCCCACTGATGCATAACCGCTCTAGCTATTTCTTTCTTATGTTGATTACACTCGCTCGCGTATGGAAACGTATACAAGGCTGCATCCACTCCTTTATTAGATCAATGTTCAAAACCGATTTTTAGTGATAGCGAACCGAGACGTTCAAGTAAATTAACGTGATTTTAAGATACTGATATTGTTTTATTTACCTCTCTACAACATTTTTTGAGTCTTACTCGTACTTAACTGCGCTCCCACGTAAAGCAGTGGTTGTGGAAAAATTGTTCCAGTATTTTAATACACTAATTGTAAACTACCAGAGGAGCTTTCTAGTTATTAAAAAAGTCCCGATGGACAGAAAATTCCTACAAAAAAAAAATATATATATATAAATATGTAGAATTTTCCACGGCAGGAAATGAATTTAAGAACGGGTTACTTAGTGTATGTCATGAATCTCCTTTGCACAAGGTAATAAGTCAAATATAATCTTCTTGAGTTCCTCCCTACCTGTCTTTCGATTTAATTTTAAAAGCAAAGTGCTGTGGGCTGATGCGATAAAGTACAAAGGAGAAGAAAACTGTGTCTTGAAAATCTACGTCTAGGAAACGTTTTTTTTTTTTTTTGTTCAAAGGATAGAAAAACAATTTTTCAGTCCATTGATTTAGAAACTTCTAGTTTTTCTTTGATCTATTTCATTGCTGACGCTTGAATTTTCTCATCTGATAAAAAATGTCTTTCCTTTGTCGCATTTTTTTGAGTGATTTGCGTACGTGAACATTTTTATTTTTTATGCAGTAGTGGTGTCCTTTAGTGTTATTATAACGAATAAAAAGAGACTATTTCAAGCTCGTACAGGGACTGTGTTTAAACAAATAAATTTCTTTCGCTAAAAAACTGTTACAGCAAACCGTAAATGGTAGCATTATCATACCATAATATCTTTACAGATATCAAAAACATGTGTGTTGTAAATGTTGCAGTTAAAACGTATCTTTATTAAGCAGTATAAAGATTCAATAAAGGACCGCGTTCCAAAAAACATTCTCTCCACGTAAAAATCATGTACGTGCCATAGTACCTTATAAATATTAGGATTCTTTTTAGTATCCGCCAAATCGTCGAAGTTCGTGTAGAGCTCATTAAGCATGTTCACAATCTTCATAACCCCTTTTGGATCAGTGTTCGCAGCACAAAGCGCCGAGAAGTTGACGATTCCGGAGAAGAGCAAGGTGACGCAGTCGTACCTTTTGGCAGGTACCGGCCTCTTATGCCGCAGCTCATTCGCCACGCTAATTGGCAACACGGAGTACAGCAGACGGTCGGTCTTCTTTTTCTCTCTGTCCAGCTCCCGATACGTTTGCTGCAGCTTGTCGGTGAGCATCTCCAAGTTTCGAGTCAGCTTGTAGTCCGCCTCGAATTGTTCGGACATTAATACCAAATCGCGTGTGGCGTCATGGAGAGGAATGTCGCTGATGTAAAGGCCCCTCCTGCGGATCCTCGTTATAAACAAACAAAAAGAAAAGAAGTGAGGTCGTACCTGGTAAGGTCGTCCAGATTCATCACGCTGGGATAACAGAGGAAGATAACCAAGTCGGTTTCTGGCACGTACAGCATCTGGCCTTTCAGACGGAGATAGCGATATTCTGGTGGAGCATTTACTTGCATTACTCCCGGTCGGGTTTTGAGGACGTAGATGGTGTTGATGTGTGAGAGGATGTTTTCGAAGGTTAACTCCAAGTGCGGACGAACCTGAAAAATCGCGTGAAATTTGCATAGCGACTTTTTGTGGACGGATTAATTAATAGTAGCGCACCAGAACGAAACGTATTCTTTCGTTTTTTACGTCCAAGTGGAATTTTAAGAAAGAATACTTTTTAACGATTATAAGCGTTACTTATATTGAAATGATGTGGTTGGCTAGGGAAAAGATATAAAAGTACCCACAAATTCGAATCTTATGATCATTGTTTCACGCAAATACTGTTAAGTCTTCTATTTTAAATCAGCATCATTTACTAAGATTCTGCATTGTCGGTGACACTTTCCGAAATTTTTTTTAATATTTACAGAGTGAATCACTGAGTGCGCGTTCCTCGATACCTCAATAATATCGAAAATAGAAAAAAGTTAGAGATTAAGATTGTACGGTTCTTTAAGTATCATATATTAAAATTTTTATCAAATAAACACAGAGTGTACTGTTTTTGAGATATAACACACAACTTAGTTTTTTTTTTTTAATGAAGCACCCTATATAATTGGGCTCTTCTTACGACTTAAAACCATATATTAAATATTTTCTTTAAAACCCATGCGATGTTGTCACGTAACAAAAAATCGTAAAAAGGTTATTTTTAAAATCTGTGTTACAATATTTTGTGGGGAGATAACAAAAGTCCACGTTTTGTTATGATATAAATTAAATTTAACTTCAATATATGGAGTGTTTATACGAGTAAAAAATAAAAATTATTTCAGTTTTTTATAAGAAACCTTTTTAGCTCAGCTATGTTTTCCCATTATTAAAACTTTAACAGTCGTACAGTTACGATTTACGTTCATCGACTATTTTAAATAGAATGAGTCAACTTTTAAAACGTTTACTATTTACAACACGCCTTAAAAAACCTATTAACTTTAAAATCTCGTCTATAAATTTTCAAAAAGTTCTTAAAAAATATAAGCAATCAATTTTGATGAAGTCCCTACGGTTATAAGAGTTGATATTCCAGGTTGGAGTTTTTTTGGGTATTAAAGTGTGATGAGTTTGAGCGGTGTATTACTAATTACCAGGAATTTGCTATTAATGAGGAGGTAAATATTAAATTTTAGTTTCTTTTGTAATCTTTTCAGCCTGGTATTCATGAATAAAACAAAGGATTTGCTGATGTTTCGTGGCAGATTACTTACAATTTCCAGTATACTCTTGTTGAATAAAAATTTACTTTGGTTAGCTGGAAGCAGTCTGAAAATTCTTAGGCTTAAAATATTTATACATAATTACAAAGCCGTTACGGGAAAAGTTGGTAAATACTACTCTCGGTACTATTTTTTTCTGCATTTCTCTTATAGCTATTTCCTTGGTCCTGTATATATATATACATGTTTTTTGTAATTGTGGCACCCAAAACGTATGTTCGTTGCAATAGTAGCACCCGATTTTACAAAGTGGCACCCGACTTTGGGTGCCAGTATGTTTTTAAACGGGAGTCGGCTCATTAGCGTCATCTGACATCGAAACGAAAAACTACGAAATTTCGTGTTGGTGCCACTTTTACAATATATATTTCCGCTTATATTCCACTAGTTGGAAGGTGTACTCACCAGAGGGCGCCCTTGCATATACAGATTTACATACAGATATAATGGCACTACAAACTGGCACCACTATGTACTTGTATCAGACTGGCACCCGAAAACTGGCAACACTGCATTCATCGCATTTACAGAGTATTCGTATTTGCCGTAAAGTTTTTCGTTCAGTTGTAATTGTGAAAAATGTATTCATAAAGTAAAAGATTAGTTCATCTAGGAATGCAAGAACTTAAAAATGGAAAGATACCTATTGTTCTATTTAATTTCGTATTATCTTAAAAATCAAATTTCTTTTAAAATACTTTTTAGTTCTTAATTATAACTACATATATGCCATAAGTAGCAAATTCTAAGTTTTTGAAATACAGCCAATAACTTCTCATTCGTTTCAGAATTTCGAAGTTTACAATTAATCAGATTTAGTAGAAAATAGAAAAAACTTTACGTTTTATAAATTTCATAACAATCCGATGACTTCTAAATATTTTGCAAGACATTTACAAAGACAGAGAGACTACTTAAAGTAATATTTAATTTAGATAAACAAAGTTGGAAAAGAAAAAAAATGTTATCTGTATTAAGATACGAAGCAAACTTCTAAAGCACACTTTGCGGAGAAAATGATTCGTTACAGTTTGAAAAAATTAATGAAAAAAGCAAATACTACCAATTTTAAAAATAAGGTATTGGAAGAAATTGAAACTGATCTGGAAAGATGAAAATGACGAAGAAGAAAATACAGAAGAAACAAAACAAAACTGCGGACACGAATGATTAGGTTTTTGAACTAGTGACTACCCGACCTGGTATGGAGTTCCGGTTTTTGTGTGATAAAGGATATACAGTACATGCTAAAAAAATTATCTAAAATTATTTATACAAAAATTCACAATTTTAGTATGTATGTATTTGTGAGGTGGTGAAAGATGACTTTATTTTAAGAATTTCACAAGAAGTGAATATATTGTTTAGGATACAATAAAAAAAATGGTTGAAGATTATTTCGACAGAACTTTCCTGGTCGTTAAACTATAGTCCGACAAATCCCGCTGCATTAAAAAATTATAAAATTGATGTTGCGATGTTAGTTTCGTGCAGTGTTTGGAAGTAATAAGTAATAACTTAACGAGTAATTGCAATGCATTACTTTTCAAAAAATGTAATGAGTAATTGTAGCGAATTACTTTTTTTTTGAGTAATTCAGTCACTTTTACAATTACTTTTACCCCAAATACTCAAAAATATTGTTTTATTTTTCTCCACGAATCGTTTACTTGACCTGCTGGGATTATTACACCTAGTTCGTCCCCACAAACAAGATTAACCCAAGGAGTGAAAATCTAAAACGAGTTTAGCACAAAATTTGTTAAAAAACCAGGTAATCATAATATACATAAACTCTTAATCATTTTAAGGGTGAGCTAAAACATATTCCAGCATAAGGAAATACATATAAACATCTGTCCAAATTTTTGCCAAAAGTATGCGTCCGATTGTAATAAACTTCACACCGTTGAAATGAGCGTAGAAAACCCTACCCAGACTGTTTGTCCGTTTTTTAAATTTTGTTATCAAAAAAAAAAAACACTACAACGCCTTAAAATTGTGCAGAGTATGAGATTATCTGGTTTTCGCTATTTGTGGATCAATTTTAAATTTCCAAAAAGGTACATAGTAGAAATTGTATTAAAAAGTTGAATGCGCTTTACAGAAATAAAATATCTTAATAAATAATTTAGTAAACAGGAGCAGAATATTTAAAATTTTTGGTCAAACAAACGTTAGCCATTTTTCTGGTCCACTCTAATCTATAACCAGTAACCGATAGAGTCCGTCCTTTTAAACCAGTCATTATACGACCATGAAATTTTATGAGAGTGTCCACCCTCTAAGGTTTTCTAAATTTAATCTGTAAGTCACAACGCCAAGTAAGAGGCAATTAAAGATAGACTTTTAAGTTTACATTATCTTGTAGCCCCCTTCTAAGTATTTTGGAACATTCTTTTTGTTAAAGATTGGTGGACTAATATTTACGATACATTGACACGTAGCCAATAAGATATTTTGAAATCTCCCACCAATGCAAATTTTTGTTTAAAAGTTGTTGCAGTTGGCATCGAACTTTTATTTGTGGCTAGAGTGAAATGAAACTAGACGCTAAAGAATTGGGTCTTCAATTTTTGGTAAAATATGTAACATGTTGCCCCACAACAATTCCATCTAGCGCCGCAGTAGAAAGGATGTTTAGTGTTGGCACGGATGTTTTTAAGATAAAACGTCATGCCTTAGCTGACGAAAATTTTAAATGTCAGTTATTATTGAATTTAAATTATGAATATAGTCCTCTTACGTAAAGTATTTACTTGTTTTATTTTATTTACTGATGTGGGTATGCAACAAATGCGTTAGTAAAATAAATCACTCACTGCCTTTTTCGTTCTAACACGTTTGTTTCCCTCTGGACCCATACAACAAATATCTAAAATTGTATCTTCATCAAATTTTTCAAAGTACAAAAAATATTTGTTAAAGTAATGCATTACTTTTTAGAAGTAATTGTTCCAATCACTGTGATACTGATAACCTCCTCAAAGTAAAAACCAGCGGCGGAATTAAGATCCCACAGCCCCTGGATCGTAGATAACCAATAGGAAAAAATGTAGATATTCTCAGTTTCTCAGTACAAGTTTAACTTCGACTGCTTATGTAATTAGACAACGAACAAGTTCAGATTACAAGCATCAGCTGTTAAAAGAAAATTAAACCGATTTTTTCTTTTCAAAGCAGAAGAAACTGACTGATTAATTAATTAATCACATTCAGTTTCCTCCCAAAAACACTCATAAATTTGAAGACCATTTATCCTGCAATATTATAAGATCATGGACAAAGTTTGATTGACGATAACCATCCTTCCAATAAACTTAAGATATTTGCAAGATTTCACAGCATTCAGCATTTACAATTTAGAAGTGAATTTGTAAAATATTGTTAGATAATTTTGATTTTTTTTTTCAAATATCTAAGTAAATCAAGGGTAAAGACTCAACACAGATTTATAAATCACACATGCAGGTGCATGTCATTTTATAAAATTTTAAAATATCTATTCAGCAGAATTATATGATATGGCGTCATAATTTTTTGGGGAGGTCATAAATAAGTAAATTTTGAGTAATCGTTTATTAAACTTTTTATAACCTTAAAACGTTTGCAACTTTTCAGCGCATTCGGTTTTGCAATTTCAAAGTTAAATTGTATAAAATACAATTTTTAATTTTTCACAAAAATGTGGATCTCTAGCCTAAAAAGTCAACATGGATTCTTAAATTACACATGCAGGAATATGTCTCTGTCTGCTGTCCCGATTTTTATTAGACAGCTAATCTCCGAAAGTACTGAGCCAATTGTTGTCAAATTTTGTATTTACATTA